TGACTGTTGTTGTGTGTGATGGAGTTCCTTGTGTGGGGAAAAGGGGAGGTGTGGCATATGGGAACTTTGTGGCGGTGTAATTGCTTCAGTTATGGCTGGACCCGAGTTTTTTGTTGTGTCTGTTTGGGAGGGCTGGGGAGGCTGGTGTAAACAGTCGGGAATTTCAGGTTCAGGTTGGAGTCCAGAGAAAGGGATTGCTGCTGCTTGTGAATTTCCCTTTCTGATCTCCACAGTGGTGGCTACATCGCAGTTCAAGGGGGACTCGAAAGGTTCTCTCTGCAGCTGCCCCTCACACACTTGAATGAAAGAGAGCTTTTTTCGGGAGGGGGGAAATCTGTGAATACCTTGCCCAATAAGAGATGAGGCATATTGAAAACTATATTAAATTACCCTGATTAACAATTTAGCCACGAACAGGGGAGCTTTGGGAGATCTCTATAGGCAGGGCTGGGGGCTATTCATGCCAGTAGCTAAGAGGTCGAAAGGTTTCTGAAGTTCACAGGCTCAGAGCCTTTGTTATGCTAACAGACAATCTCAAATCAGCTGCCTAGTGGAGTGTGAAATATAAATGATTCCTTGAGAACTTCCAATAAGTTGTCACTCTTGCTCTCCAAATACCAGGACAGGCTGCTAATTTCTAGCAAGCCCTTTTGCAGCATCGCCAGCCCTAAATGAATGCCTTTGTAGTTCAAATAATCTTTTCATGGGAGCTGTCCTATCATAATAGCCCAAATGCATCATGGTTTTGACTATTTAAATGAAAATCAGGACTTTTCTGTGCTTGACTTTTCCCGAGTTGCGCGGTGTTTTGGAAGGGTGGCAGCAATTCGCATACACAACAAGGTAGCACCCACTGCAGGGGGCCCAGGACATAAATAACAGGCTATATACCCTGGGAGTTACTGAGAATCAACCCCTCGGCCCTAGCCCGAACAAAGCCCAGGACAAGATTTACGTGTCTCCCCAGACTCTCTAGCTATTTTCCTCTCTCTTAGCCGGAAAAAATGATTTAGGTCTAATTTAGGGGACTTTATGCCAAACGGCTTTTTTACAGCTTTCGAGAGTTCAGCACGATCATCTTACAAACAAACTTGTTTTGTTAGCTCTCTGCATTGCAACTGAGGCTCTTTGGTGGGGAAGGTGCATCACCTGAAAAGACCTGTGTCTTTTTTTTTTTTTTTTGTAAGTGGTGAGACAATCAGATAAGCGATCTGAATTTAGTTGAGACTATTTGGGGCGTGGAGTCGGAATATGAACAGATTCGGAGAAATATGCATATCCATTCTACAGAACATTAATACTAATACCATTAAAAGGAAGAGAATGAGTTAATTATCCTTATACATACAAGGAAATTAATCCGTTGTAGGGTGTTCTGTTCCTATTCAAGAAAGAAAGGAGGAGAGCCTGCCACATGAATTAATACCATCGCTGATGAATAAAAAGCAAGCTCATAAGGTACTACAAAGTTTGACACATTTACAAGAACACTGCACAACAATCTCTAGAACAACAGTAAAATTAGTGTTTGGAGACAAAAAAAGTTGAAGGATTTCTCTTTGTATATTCATACTGTGTTAGAAGATGTAATAGGACACAGTAAGAGTAGTAATTAAAGAGTTTTGTCTAGATCCATACTCCCTCCGTGTCTGGTACTGTTGAAGTAGAGTGACTTTTTCGTGCCATAACGAAATAAGATGAAATATAGATGTGAAACGTATTTATTCTAATTCCACATTCACTAGAAATTAAACAAACCATTTCCCCATGGTTAAGTGTCATTAGAGTATGGTCCATATCAAAGCAGACTCAGAGGGACTATCTGATAAGTGTAAAAAATCACTTTTGTCTATTACACTATTAATACACACTAGAAAGTGGTTTCTTGGGGGAAGTATCGTTGTTTCCCTCCTAATCCTCATTTATTTTTCCTCCTGGAAATAGATCTCTGCAATTACCATCTGCAAAAGCTTTCTAAAAATCCCCCCGAAATAGAAGGAACAAAAGTTTGGTTTATGTTCCCCGGAGGATGGAAAGTAGACTTTGTGTGCATATTATTATTCTGAAAACTCCAAAGTCACGAATTATCTGGGTTCTCAGAGTTATTAATAACACTTAGCACTTCGACAGAGCTTTGCATTTACAAAGGGCTGAACAAACAAACACTAATTAGTGCTGCTATTTTGTTTTGCTTTTCAAACCTAGTTTTTAGAAAGAATGAAAAATTAATTTCCAATATATTTTTGCAGGTCTCCAAACAACCCCCCGCTACTTTTCATGCTACTTCTTACAGTTTATTTGTAGATTGCCAATAATCAATACGCTCTATGGATATTTATACTGAACCAAAGTGTCTGCATGTTAAATGACTGTAGCACTGACTACATTTTTTCCATTGATGAATATGTCCACCTGGTATTTCTCACACGTTTACTGGTATAACTTTGAGGTAGTATTTCTGGTTTTCGTCTTTAACAAAAAGATATCAGTGAATACAGAATTTTTGTTTATGAAGGCAGAAGGTAACACTTGATCATATCTTAATTTACATAGGAACCAGTATTCTTTTAGAATATTTTTCTTTTTGCAGTTGATATCTTTAACCTATGTCCAAAATTAAAAATATAATAGTTGAAATATAAAGTTGGAATTGGAAGTAAGTATACTTTTTACTAAAATATGATCTCAATAAAGTCTATATTCATAGCACTCATGCTGATCAGTGCCAACGCCGGACGTATTAACAATCAAAACAATAACTAATTAATCCAGCAATAGGTATCATAAAATCAGAAACCCCAAAGTTAATTTGGAAATGGGAGCATGCAGCAGATTTCCTATTTATTGAGTGGTATATCTGCATATTAGTTTGCAGACAAATTAATCTTGTTCCTAAGAATAAAATTTTGCTTACATTTGCTTTTTGTAAATCCGTTACAACACAGATCCTTACAATGCAAAAATGATGTTTCATTCATATGTATGAGTAAATATCAAGACAGACGTAGTTTTCTTGTAACCACTAGACAGTGATTGCTTGAAGTACCAAAGGGGAATGCAACTTTTCCTCTAGCATAAGGAATGATGTAAATATATTTTTATATATCATGTATTATCTTCAAGACTAATTAAGGTGAAAGGCAATATCATAGCCAAAGAAAGGCTGACTGGAAAAGAACTAAGGATAAAAAGTACAAGATGACACCCACAAGATGGCTGCCTTTTCATTCTTTCCCTATGATTATAGTCCAATTTCTACATGAAAATCAATCTAAACTATTCTTTAGGAATATATTATTCTTTTGCAAATCAGATAGAGGAACTAGAGCTGTTCCCCTTCCCCCCCAAATCCCTGCAAGTAATGATAAAAATTATTAAATACATTTAGGTATATATAAATACAAGTGCACATTACATATGTATATGACAGTAGCAATGCCTACTGTACCTGTCAGTCATCATACCGATATATACGAGTCTATACGTGTGTACGTATGACACACAGTTCAACAGAAAAACACGCCAAGAAGAGATCCTGACTTCATTTTGCAGTGCACAAGGAAAGACGTGGGCAACATTACACCATTCTTTTCTTTTAAAAGCTTATAAAATAGATTGTTAAAATAATATATCTGAGAATTTAAAAATATGTATCGAATGGCTCTTTCATTAAGATTGCTGAGATTTGGGATTCCAGACATGATCTGATTAACTCGTCTCGCCTTGACCAAACCTACAATTATTTTAAATTGTCTATAAAAAAAATTCTCTGATATTCAGAGCTTAGTTTGTAGGTATGATCTACATTTATGATTATTAATAAAAACAAAACATGACAATATCATCAGATTCTGCCCAGCGAGCTAAGATAAAAAGAAGACTGAATATAAAATGTAAATAGTTTGGGTTTCAGCCCATTCAGCAAAACTGTTAGGTTACAAGGTTACTATGTGGGCTGAAACTACAGACTAAGAACAAAGCAAATGGTTCAGTTTCAATAGGAAATATAATAAAACCCCCTTTATCTAAAAGCCATCAGGGACAAGCACTCAATACAAGCTAACAAGCAGGAACTGATAAGATAACATTTATATGAGGTCAGAAGTCAAATGCCAGTCAAAGGCTTTTAACCTCTTGGGTCATAAACAGGAATAGTTAAAACACATAGATAGTTATTTATTGGATTTTAAGGGTACCTGATCATTATTAGTGGACAACGCGATGATTAAGCTAATTGGGATTTATAGAAGAACTTTGCAATCGTTAACATAAAATGGAAAGCCCCTCGTCTATCATTCTTTTTTTTTAATTCCCCTTTGTCTCTCATAAATCTATAGATCAAAGCAAACAGATGACCAAAAGGATAAACATTGTTTCAAAACAGAAGCACAGTCAATCCAAGACTTGTCTAAAGATTCAATGGACTAAATATTTACAGTCAACAGACATAAGAGAACAATAAACAGCCTCTCGATTGTGGTGTTAATGCCACTGTTCACCCCCCCTCCCCAGTTCACTAAAAGAAGAAGACATAATTGAAATATAAAAATGGGGTTTCCTTCAGAATAACATCTTTTTAGCAAAAAAAATTTATTTTTACAGTTATTATTTTATTACATATAAAATTCAGCTAGATTTAAAATGGCTTATTTATACGTTTTCTTCTAATCTAACCAGGGAATAGTCATTCTTTCTTTAGTGTCCTAGTTATTTTTGTTTCCTATTGCAGGCTCAATTCCCCAAAATCTATAATTTACATACATTTATGTTTAAACTTGCATTTTGAAGGTAACATTTTTTTAAAATTAGCAATGAAATATAAAATCTATCTATATATCTAGAGAAAGAAACAGGATCTGTCCTGAGGCCTTTCTAGGCCCACTGTTTCTTTAAACAGACATCACAATACACTAGGCGAACATTGTGGATTTAAAATGCTTTTAAATATTTATCAGAAGTATTTTATCACCATATTCAAATGACACCTGGAGAGCACTCACCTTTATTGACAATCTCTGTTCTGAAAGTCCATTTGCTTCACCAAAGCCCCCCAAGCAGAACAACAAGGACTAACCGTTTTCATTCAGTTAATGTTTAGTAAAAAACCAAGCAACCTTAATCAGCATGCTGATTGCATCGTCAACTAACAAATAATTTACTACTCTGAGCATTGCATTCCATTAAAAGCTCATTAAATTTTCTGTTCTCCAATGGGAGCTTTAGCTTTTGAACTGCAAGCTTTTGCTCCGAATTATCACTTATTCAGTTTTTGCAAAATGTTTTTTCAAAGCATAGGTGAGAATTTCAATACCTACATACACTAAATTCCTGGGGAAACATACCTCAGTTTTTTCTTTATAATATACGCTCAACAATCTTGTGGGGAAGAAAACCCTACTTTGTTAGAATCTAACACATCCAGTTTAACTTTGATGAAACATCTTCCTGTTATGAAGAAGAGTAGTGAGTGATTTAAGTGTGTGTAGGTTTTGAACACAGAAGGAAAACTGTACAAAAGGATTTTTATCTTATAAATCTGAAATGATTCTTTAAAAAACGGTTGCTCCATATTTTATTATTGCAAGCAAATAGCAGAAAAAGAGCCTTTGTATTGCAAAATACAAAATTTAGTGCCTTCCCAAATATAAGGGGGAATCTAACAGTTCAAATGTTTATTGGGGTTGGGGGGGAGGGTGGAGGAGAGCTTAATATTCTTTCTCAGCCTTGCATACTAAACTGTATATAATCGTTATATTTAATAAGTAAACGCAATAAAATGTCAGCCCCTAAATTAACATGCATTTTTGGATTGCTAATTGTGTTCATTGCAAATTTGGGTCATTTTGCATGAGTGACTCTAATGTAGGGCTGAGATTGCCATATAGCGTAGTGGATTCCTGATTCCCTGTGCTAATCCTGAACTCAGTGATTGTGTCAGGTGCAGTTCTGTATGCTCCAGCAGCTGGCTCATCCTCATCAATGCAAATAAGGCAACTCCTACAATCAAAGCCTCGTGAGTCTAAAGCCTGATTGCTGAGGGCAGGCTAAAGCACTACACAGGCTCGCTTTCGAATCATACTGAACTGACAAGACAACTGTAATGTCCCTCCCGTTCAAAATCAGCCTTTATCAAACAAAACAAAAAAGAGATCCATCAATTTATGTGTGTACAAAATGCGGCTAGATTTTCTATGGATGTTAGCTGAAGGTGGGTAAAAATCCCCTGAACTATAATGAAGTCCACTTTGTCACAGGCATTAGCAATAATTAATGTAATATTCGAATGCCTAGCAAGAGAACAGGCAGCAAAAGGTTATAAACAGAATAGTTGCTTCCCACTTTTTCCAGGGAATTTTCTTAGGGACTAGTTCAAAGTGTGGGTCCATATCCATAGATATCTGTAGGTGTAAATACACAGGCAGAGTGAAAGAGTGCAATAAACGACTGCACTTTAAGGGGCGGTTTCTCTTTGGTCTAGACTCTGAATACACAACTTTAAAAGTTATGGGATTACTCTGCTCCATAACAGGCAAAATGCCAGTCAGACCCAAAGGGAAGAAAAAAAATAAAAACCCAAACGCACACAAACTAGCCACTCAGTCCCCAAATAGCGAACGCTGGTACACGTTCTTGTGCGAAAATGTAAGGGCAGATTCTGCCACTTTGACTCCCCCAGTAGAGCTTTACTCTGCAAATAACCACACTGATGGCATCGGAACAATTGGGCAAATATGGGGTGAGGGAGAGGGCTCGGGTCCTTAATCTCTAATTTCAATTTCCAAAAAGATCAGCGGATTGGGTTTTAAAATTAAACACCCCTGGTCCCTCTCTCCTTTTCTCTCTTTGCCTTAACCTCATAAATGAGTTATCGCACCACTTCGAAGAGCTGTGTGTGAGGCTACCTAATGGTGCACTAATTTGTATATTACACACTGGAGGAGTCTACGTTGTCCCTATTGGCCTGGCTTTTATTTTTAAATGTACAGCGTTTGAACAGTACAGTCCACGTTGGAATGGCAGGCTGGGGGCATGTATTTGACCGCTCTTTAAACATCGAGCCGATATCGGGACGTTTGAAAAGAAATATCCGGCTGTTTTGCTCCTTTTATTATTTAGTCCAATAGTGCAAAACAACACAAAACACAACAACAACTTTGAGAATTGGCCCTAAGCATGTCCCGACAAAGCCCCAAAGACAAACAACTCGTTGGCTAAGGCATTAAGGGGTCAGGAGACATGTAAAAACCTAAAGGCCACGCTGCTCTATCAGAATCAACACACATAAATACCAAACAGGCTAATGCAGGGGAAGTATTAGCCTCCCCAGTAGGATCCTATAAATCATCATAGCCAGGGCAAAGCTCCAGCCTGCAACCCCAGCGCTGTTGACTCCACGTTGAAAGTCAGCTGTAGATAACATCTGATGCTGAAAACTGGCCTTAAGTGGGGTAAAATGCATCCCATCCCCCTGCGGGTATAGAAATAAACATGTACATTAGAACTAATGTGTCTCCATCTCAAGTCATAGCAGGGGCTCTAAGGCAGTCCTTGCCGGTGGAACAGCCGTACACTGGGGAAGAAGGGTTACAACAAACGTTTCCCAGGCGCGCAAAGGGAAAGAGGTCCTCTTTCCCTCTCCTCTAGGCTAAGAAGGTGAAGAATGCTGTTTCTCTTCAGCTGGAGCAGACATCTCCTGCACCTGCTGGAGAAGTTCAGAGGAACCGATTCTTTGATCGGACACCTGAAATTACAGGGACTTTGACTAATAGCATCGGAAGACCAAAAAAACCAACCAACCAACCAAACAAACAAACAAAAAAAACAAACACACGCGTGAAAATAAATCAGATCCACCTGTGATCCGAACTTTTCTAGCTGCTCCAAGTAACTGACTTTCACTTGCTCTGTCTCTCCCTCCCTAATAGGATTAACAGACATTTTCCTACAAGCAAATCAGAATTTGTCAAATCATCTGTGACAGTCGATTTGCTCATCTCCACATTCTTCTGGTACTGACACAGCACCATCCTCACACTGTTTAATCTTGGCTGATGCGGGGCATGTGCGAGGCAAACATTTGTCTTGTTAAAGCACTGTCACTCTCCTTAATTCTTTATATTTCTTTAAAACACCTCTTGGCAGACTGAGATCACTAGAGACCTAAGGTCTCCAGGATCTTGATGATGCAATGCCTATACTGTATTACTGCCATGAAAGGCTTCTTAATGTTCCTTGTAATCTGCTTTCTACTATGTCACAGGTCCAATAATCCTTTTGGTACGTCATATCCAAAGTAAATCCTCCTCCTACTCCCCCTGCGTCACGTGCTCTGTAATCGCCTCTCCCCTACATAGGCAACAGGATTTTTTTGAGTTGTAAATTCAATAGCCGTTCCCTCCAGGTTCAATAACTCATCCCTGCCCCCCCTCCCTGAGGCACAGCCATTACCGTTAGTAAGAAAAACTCCTCCACCAAACCCTCCTCTAGCCTTCATGTGATGTTTCAATAAGCTTTCTTCTCCTGCCTTAGCACCTACAAGGAAAACTGTTCTTCCCCAGTGGTTTCATGAGTCTGCCATTCTTACTGTACAGCTGCGGACGAAAGTGTGCTAATAAATAAATAAATAAATATAATAAATAAATATAAAATGACAACATAATGGTGAAATGGTGCAAACTCAGTGACATATTTAACATTTTTATTAAAGCTAATGTTAATATATATATATATATATGTTGGTGAAAGAGTGTATGTACATCTGGGTATAGTGCTTAGATTATCCACAAATAGAAAGTTAGTTTTTAAAAGTCATATGATACATAGAGTACATAATCAGCAATAACCCAAATTTAGGTGAATAGATTTAACAATGCAGTTTAGATATTAGAATCCAAATACTCGGATACATCATTCATGAACACTTGTACAGAGATTTGGCTGTGGAAAGCAAAATATATCAATGAGTGGAGATTGTCTCTCAGTAATTGAGAATTAGGTTGGTTGTCCATTTAGAAAATATGCATCGGATGCATCCGATGAAGTGAGCTGTAGCTCACGAAAGCTTATGCTCAAATAAGTTTGTTAGTCTCTAAGGTGCCACAAGTCCTCCTCTTCTTTTTGTGAATACAGACTAACACGGCTGCTACTCTGAAACCTATAAATATGAGGTAATTTTAAGTGTGAACCATCAATTTTATTCTAACATTTGTAATTGTTGCTTTCATTTGTATATCTAACTTCATTTTAGAGCTCCAAAAATGACCTGATAAGTTTCAGCATTTCCCCAGACCTTTCCCTTGTTCTATAACAAGATATATTTTGTCTTGTACTTAACCCAATTGTAAGGCAAAAGACACCTTGGCTGACGTTAATGTAAAAATGGGAAGGTGATCATCCCATTTTTAAAACACCAACTCTTACCAATTCTACACTAGTAAATTCAGAAGAATCTTTCTTGCTACCCAATAGGTAATATCCAAAACAAAGCCATCTAATCACTTTAGTTTCCCATTGTTATCTGATTTTCTGCTCATACACTGTATAGGCAGATGGCTAATCAGCAAACATATACATTTAAAAGAATATGGTGGGGGAGATGGTTGTAAAATATTTACTCAAGTAAGCACTCAGCTATAGTAATGACTGTTTTAAAATATTCATATTATATAAATGTGAGTTGAAGTTGACAGTAAATATGGATCAGACATATCAAAAGGCAACATGTCATTTTACTCCCATGTTAAGTCTGACATTCAGAAGAAGGCCATTGTTTGCTCTGTTTAGATTCATTTTCTTATAGAAAATTAATTTTTAAAAAGTATACTGCAATGATGATTGAACATGACAGAGGAAGAGAGAAAGAGAGAGTTTTAAGAGCTCCGTGCCCATAAGAGATTGTGACTGAATTCCCAGGACTACTGTTTGATTTGTTACAATAATTAGTGCTTAGTTATTAGGTCTCTTCTTGCTTTTTTCAGGCCATTAGAACGAAAGATAAATGGAGGAATGAGGTCTAGTGCTATAATGATCTTAGAGCATAATGGAAGCATCAGGAAAGTGCTGTTGCTGAAAAACTTACATGAGTTTTTTAAGTGATGCACTATTAATAAGTGTTATATAAGCATTCATGCAGATGTAAAGATCAAAAATACTCAGGAGAGGTG